AAGTCGCTTCTCAAGTATGAAATACACCGAGTGGTTGGGAACGTTGAGAAAAATCTGTCCACGAAACAGGATCAAAGAAAAGTAACGACGTTTAAAATGTAACTAGGAAGTTTGAATCGCTTCACATGGCTGTGTTTTTTCATTATCATTTAATTAAATGTAATCACCATTTCAATTTTTAATAGGCTTTAAAAAACCAAGCGGTTATCACTGTGACATTAATGCTTGATATTGTATAAGAGCTTCACCTTGCTCTTTAGCGATGTGAACATTATTTAACTTTATGCCGGACGCTTATAATTTCACTGGCAGCCCCTGTTTAATTAACTGCTGACTTATCGAGGATAATGCTTTGTCGTGGCGAAGGATTTCCCTCGAAAGTGGAGACGAATGAGTTTAATTATAAAGGGATTACTTTAGAAAACGATGGAATTTCACCGCGCCCTTTGGCTGTAATTAATTACCTTCGCTACTGTAAACAGTAATCAACTCGCCTCGAAGTTTTTCGAAAATTCGATATTAAAATTTCAAATTAATCGAACAGGTAGTTTTCGTTTCATGAAAACTTTCATTCTGTATAATTCCTGTACGAAATGTTTACCGAGAATCGAAACTATATAAAAAAGGGAAAGAAGTACGGAATGAGGTTTCATAGATATACAAAAAAGTCGGGCAAGTTTTTAACAAGATCAGACCAGACCACCATAAATCAGAATGGTGGCCGTAGGAGGGATTTATTGTGGAACTTTTAAAGAAAGCTTAGTAGACACGCGTGGATAAGGGCGCGGCAACGGCGATCCAGCAATAGGGTGGTGGAAATCGAAGCTACGACAGTGGGGATTGAAGAGACAGGGATGGAAAATGGTCCAGGAGAGGAGGGTGGTTACTGGAACGGTCGTAGGGTGGTTATGACGCGGGTGTAACCTTGGCAACTCTGCATTCCCCTTTCTCGTAACCGACATCACCCTCTTCGACGCTCTTACCATCCCTTCTCTTCCTTTTTTCTCTCCACTGTTCCTCCTTCCCTCTTTCTTCGATTCTTCCCAAAGATCCTCTTCTTCCTTCTAGTTTTCCCTTCCTTCCTTTCTTATCGTTTCTCACCCAGAGTCACCCTTTCTCTTCATCATTCTCCCTCGAATCTCCTATCTGCTTCATCGCCTCATCTTTCTTCTTCGATTCCCTTGTTCGACTACAAATTCCTCCCCTCATCCCTCTCTCGATGCACACGCTTGTCCCGTACTCCCACGCAACTCCAGCCACGTCCACAAATGGAGCAAAAGTGGAGCGTGTTCTTGTTCGAATGCACGATCGTTTCGTACTACCACCTATTTTTCACCTCGCACAGCCCCTTACGGATCCCTACCATCGATCCTCCACCCCTTCGACGATTCACCCGGCTATCTTTTCATAGCTCGTTTATCTTTTTCTTGCGCGACAGAAAGCTACTGCGGGGAGAAAAATATTCGATCGTTCGGATTACTGGACCGGGATTCGAGGGCGGATCTTGCCAAACGACTGCTCTACTAATTAATCCTCGGATGGCGGTCGATAGATGTTCTTTTGAATAAACTTACCGCCAACTTCTTTTTATTAGAACGAGAACACCTCTGGGAAACACGAGGGTGTCGAATCGTCGAGATGAATTTTCAACGCGAATATTCTGCCCGTCAACGACTCGTTCACCGACGAAGGAGAGGAAGGAGAACCACCATTCGCGGAGAACACGACTGCGCTCTTAATCTCGTAGAAATGCAAATCGTGTTTAAGCCGCGTTAACGTTTTCGCCATGGCCGCCACGATAACGCGGCCGCAACGGTTGGATCCTGCGTTTCGATCAACACCGCTTTGTTTCCGGGCGAATACCAGGCTACGATACGTTATCGTTATCTTTTGATAGGTGTTTATGCACGTTGCATCGGAAAAAGCTTGCTGTGATAGGCTTGCACGACCCAGGGACAATGTACACATTTACGAGACTTTGTTGTTACAGCTTTTTTCAAATAATTTACTGTTCGATAAATTGGACATCTGCATATTTACAGAGCTTCATATTTTTTTTTTTTTTTATCAACTTCCAGATTCAAAATTATTCTTTTAATACAAAATACGTTGTATTTTTATTTCTCGAAAGTCCTAAAATTCAACCACAAACTTCCTATTCTGTTTCTGTAGACTAACTGAAACCTTGGATAGAGCCGGTGTTCCGAGTAACGGTGAAGAACACAACGCTCCGTATACAGGCGGTGATTACCTTTCATCGCGGGGTCAACAGTTACATGGCCGCTAATTTCGCGTCGCTGCTGGAACTAGTTGTAGCTCAATTACCGGCATCAAAGCCGTCATCGTTCGACGAGAATCGCGGCCTTCGCCCGTTGAATTTCATGCATGTACTTTCCCGCCTTGTTAAATTGTATATTCCGTAAAAAGACACGGGAGAAGAGAAGGATCGCGTGTGAATTATCGCGGTACAGACGACGGACACCTTTCCATATTCTACGAACGTTCCGGCGACGCGTCTCGTTCGTCCGTTCGAAATTACGACGCCCTATTGTTCACAGATTACCATTATTACCATTTACAGGATAGTATCATTATCGACAGGTATTCATATTCATGACCATCTGATAACGGGTAGCCTGGCCCACGAACGAGAAAGAGCCTTCTCGTTCGATCAGCCTCATCGAATAATCAACGTAACGAAAATCACCCGTTTCAACGGAGGATCCTTACCGGGCTTCGTTGCATTAATGATGTCAATCGTATAGCTGAAGCTGTTCACCATAAGGATACGTATTCATGAACCGATCACCGAGAAATCTATGCTTCGTTTCAGTGCACCAGTAAGGGGACAAACTGAATGCTTTTCAGATGGCGATGTCGTTTTACGACGTTCGTGACGAAGAATGGCACGGTTTGAAATGTAATAATATAAGTAATTATCAGAACGGTGAATATCATTTTAAATACCTTTTTACCCGCAATGAAATGAATAATAAATCATAAGAAATTATATGAAATAATATTCTATATAAATTTCATGTCGACAGAAGCGATTAGTATGATTAGTTATCAGAAGCTAATCGTTCAACGGAGCGGATTCATCCGCACAAAGATAACCGGCAGGGTCTACGATCCACAAGATGACGAGGCAAATGAGCCCGGGCGCAATAATATCGTCAGCTTCACGTTGGGTTTATTGCACCGTCGTCGTCGGCCTCTAGCCGTTTGCGCGAGACTTAATATCGTACGCTGTAAACCGTCCCGCAATATCGAGCCGACTCGTTTCCGCGGCAATTCCCGTTTTCGCTGACACAAACGGAATCGCGTGAGCAACGCGCGTGCATGCCTGGCCAGAGAGATATTTGTCTGTCGTCGATTTGGACGCGCGAGCCAGGAATTTGTGTCGGGAACAATCGCGTTGATCGATGCTCGAATACTCGGTAACCAGGCTCGAGAAACGCGAACACCGTCGTACGAAATCGAACGAAATAATTCTGGCTCATATTTTCCAATGATTTTTCCATAAAGAATAACCCCGTTTATGGTATACCGCGATTGCAATCATACCTTATATCATCGTGAACTTATTCGAAGAGAATGATTACAAGGTTCGCGTATTATCCATTATTCACCACCAAGGTCTAACGAATTTGAACGTTAATTATCGACAAATATGGCGATGATTTTTTGTAGCTCATGAATCGAGCGGAGAAACGAGTTGAATAAAAACGAAAGGATCGATGGAAATTCCTTCGATCCATTCCCGAAGCCATTATCTCGCGTAGCCGAAGCGAGGAACGTGGAAGAGGATTAAACGAAGCACTCGATTCACTTGGCTCACCGTTGACCGGAACAAATGGCCGGTTTAATTCAATGTATCAAAAGCATCAGCGACACTTTCGAGTCGAACAGCTCCCTCCTCGTCGCTCTCTTCCGTTCTTCACGGCCCCTCCGCAATTCCCGGGGCTTTGTGTGTTTTGACGGGGGTGCTAACTGACCCCGTGGCTGTCGGGGTAGCGAAGCGGAGCAAGCGGTAGGAGGGTTATGCTCAAGAGCAGAAGAGGGTGGCATTAGGTCGAGGTCACCAGGACGCTGAAGCGATCGATGCAGCCTGCCAGCCAGCCAGCACCACCCACGCTTCAACCCTCTCTGCTTTCTCCCTTCTACGAGCCCATCTTCTCCTCCGTGAAACCCAAATACCAGCTTTACCTCTGATTTTCATCCACCAACAGCATCCCCCTTTTTTTCTCTCCTTCGCTCTTTCACCGAAATCGAGACTCCTTGTGTCTCTATTTACGTCTACCACCATTTAGCCGAAAGCAACAGGGATGCGGTTGAAAACTGGCGTGGTTCAACACGTGGACGTTCTACATTCGAGCTACGATCAGCTGTTTCCCCGGGACGCTGATGCTTCTGGATTTCAACGTGCTTCTACCCCCGGCAACTAGCCACCCCTTCCATACACCGAAATTTATCTCCTTGATAAAATATTCTATTTGAGAATTTATTAACGCTTGCTAAAGTTCTTTTTTTAAATAAAGTATAATCTCTGTATTTGAATGAAAAGAAAATATTCTAAATTAGTTGTAAAATTTCTGTTTCTGTGTCTTCTAGACTCAAGCTCACAGGAACTTTACAAAATAGGTCAACGGACGAAGAACACGAGATACTAAAGACGCGTTTTTAAGGCAAGCGAACAAGCTCCTTCGTAAAATCGACTGGGTAACTTCAGCGAGCTCGTAAAGGTAGAATTTACGAGAAAGTAAAACTTCACTCTCGGACGATAATGTCCCGGTTTAAACGTTCCTTCATCTTCTCTAGCGCTGTAACGCAGCCGCAGCTCAAATAATGATGAAAATATTCTGGATTCTGCAGTAGTATAGTAGAATTGTAGAAAATAATTATAGTAACGAGCTGATGAGCAGACGAAATGCCCTCTGATCTTGGCTGTGATTAATTATCGAATCAAGGGAATAAATCAGAGGAAAATCGCCTTTCGTGGCAGCGTTCGTCTGTCGCGTGTTTCGTTTCTAAGGCCTCTTTTTGGTTACTCTACAACTTCCGTCCTCTCCTTCTGCTCTACGTTCTCTTACAAATGTCCCGGTCGTTTTGAACGCCGAACCAGCCGTTTCCACGTCGTATAATTTCAACGGTTCCCCTGCCAAACTACGCCAACGGAAGCGAAACAGTGACGTTTTTTGCGATGACGCCGGTTCTGAGAGTGGCTTCCGCCTGAGAGAACGCGACTCGTACCATGCGAACAGGTTTAACGCGTTATGACGTGAGTACGGGCTTGGAAATTGGATTGCAAACACGCTGAAGAGACTGTTAAAATGTTTTAACCCTCTCGCATAGCGAGGATTTAAATTCCATTTTCATTTCTCTCTTTTGCAATTTTTTGAACGACGAAAATCATGATGCTTTGAACTTTTAGAAGAAAAACAAAACGCCTGCATCTACCGAAGACGATTCTTATATCTCTTCGGAGCTCGATTTACTAAATCCAAGGTACGATGTTTTTCCGATAAGAAAGGTGAAATAAAGTTATTAATTGACTTTGATCGTTAGGGTTACAAGATCGAGACACGAGGTTTGTGCCTCGAAGGACACGAGAAAGAATTTGTTAAATCTTTTCGAGGCGTCTTCGAGAAATTCTGATCACTGTCGCTGTTCCGTGAAATCTGACCACGTCGACAAAAAATTACGTAAGTGATGTAAGTGTTATCGGAATAACACGATGTTCGAATTAAAATTTTTTACAAAGACTCTTTTAAATAGTCTAAAATTCGAGTTCCAAAAACTGCAGAATATTTTCTGAGGACTCGTTGAAAATACCACATAATCTTTTCACGAATACATTTCAGTATCTGAAAAAGTAAGTAAAGACACAACGAGCCATCGTGAATCGAGTTCTCAACATCTTCCAGGTTATCGTCAGCAGAGAAAGTATGAGGTAAATTACAGAATGTTCCTTAAATTGCATGTTCAACAATGCTTTTATAAAAGTAGGAAATAAATTAAAAATGTCAGGAAGTTAGACATTTCGCGGGAAACAATGCACATTGTTAGCAACAACTAACGATGATAATACAATAGACACGCGTATGACTGTTTTAACATTGCAACTTTCGTTTTACGTCATTCAACGTCGTGTATTGTATTTTTCGATAAAAATATCTGTTATGCAAGCAATGCTATCAAACATATTTTGGGCTTTGAACTTTAAGCTGGCTTTTGTGACGAACCAATGACCGTGTTGAAGTTTTAATTCGTTTATCGAAAGCATTTCATTTAATTATCAGAACAAGTTCAGAAATAGAAACAAAGGGAGGAAAACGATTTTTCTCTAAGACAAGTGAAATGAAATAAAAAATATAAGAAATTGTGTCATTGATTTTTGATACACATCTCACGACTAATATTATTACAGACCCAGGTAACTTTCGTTACGGAGAAGTGTTTCAGCAGCGGTGAGGATCTTAACGGGAAATCCCTCGTGAAACTTTGGTAATTATCCGAAAAGTTGAGCGAGTCACGTGCGCGCTCTTAAATCACGTACTCAAATCATTATAACGACACCTAATGCGTTCCCTTGATAATAGGGGTGGAAAAAGCACGCCACGAATAATCCGTGCGATTCGTCGGAACAGCAGAAAATGTGAGTTATCGCGTGTCAAATTTCATAATATTAATCTGTTTGCGTGCTCGGGTTTTGGGGGTTGCTATTCAGCTTTTGATATATTTTCCGTCACCTTAATAGGATTACTACCAGCTTGTGAATAACATTGGAAATAATAAAAATTTGTCATTAATTGAACTTGTAAATCGAAACTACATTAATAAAACTACCCCTAAAATCATTGACTTTCAGACAGATGTATGTTCTTCAAAACCCTGTCTATTTTATTTTATTTTATACATTTCTTCACTCCTTTTAGCAAGATACATTTCTGTAACTTTGCTTTTCTCATTGTTTATAGCGACTCTGCGAATTTGATCGTTCCCAAGGCCCGAGAGCGCGCAAACTCGACGCGTCTCGAGCCGCTGCCCCTGATTCCATGTATCTCTTCCTCTTCGCGTTATTCCTGTTCGCCTACCTGTTCCTTAGCAAGGAACGCGACAATTTACGAGTAACTGGAAGCGGGGCCAGCAGCTCGACGAACAGCCAGACCTGCGGAAAGCACGCTACCGAGATCCTCGCGAAGGGGCGGTAATTTAATCCCGGGACGTTCGTAGTCGAAGCGGACGAGGATCGATCGGAATCAGCGGAACAACCGCGGCCCGGAAACAGCAAAAGCAGCGTGGTTGTTCTGTATAACGATAAATCGGCCGTGCCACCCTCGACATCCCCTGAACCACCCCTCAGAGCCACCCAATCGGAACGTGCGATTCCACGCGATTCGAATCTATCGGCGGACACTGTTCAACTGTTACGAGACAAAAAGTCAAGTTATTCCTATAATTTAATCTTCCCTGATGCGTCGCTTTCAATAAAATAAATCAGCAAACTGAATCAATTAGATTCCTTAGGCACGTTTACAAAGTGAACGACGAATCGGAGAAAGAATAAAAAGGACGTAGAATCGTCTGGTATCAGGGAGATACAATCGAAGCTTCAAACAAATCGTAGGAATTCTTTTCTTTCTCTTGGCTACAGGTCGAATCCGACGGAAACACCGGAAGACGGGTCTCCTACGTATCCGATTGACCGAAGAAAAGTTACTTTGAGACGACGTCGACGTCCATCGAAGCGGCAAAGGCCACTCAACGTGCACGTTTATCAGGATAGTCGGCTACTCCAGGTCGCCTCCTTGTCCAAGGATCATCGTGTCGGTTCGAGAGAGGCGCGTTTGGTGGAAAAGAGATCCGATCCGGCGAGATACACGGTCAGGTCGGCGAAAAATTTGATTAGATCAGAAGAGGGATCGTCTACACGGCAGGACGACGATTCGGATGATCTCGATCGAGCTAGGAGATCGGACAAGCACTGGAAGCTCGATAGAACCTTCAGGGAACGATGTCGTCCCTCTGATAATTCCGTTCCCAAACTAATGGCTCGTCCCGGGTAATCAGATCAATTATACTTATCCGCGTAAAGAGATATTGCAATAGAATTGCAAAATAATTGATTTCGAGGAACAGAAAATATATTCTACTCTAATTGTTGAAATATGAAAATATCATTTTTAATATCTTTACATTTCACAGTCCTGGAAGGGACGGCGATTGCGAACAGCTAAGAAACGAAGGGGTTTATCCGAATCTGGCCTACCTAATGCAACAGATGCACTCTCGTCCACGAGAACGAGGCGACGATCGTGCATTTATCAGCGTGAACGACGGCGACAATTCGAAGCGGGTGTTCCCGTTTCAAGCGACCCCGAGCGGTAACCTGAAGATCGTTCCCAATCAGGTAAATGATCGATACGGCTCGATCGGGGTTGCGTTCAGCGAATTTTCGGAATGTTGCCCTGAAGGCAGACGCGTAGTCATTCTAGGTGGTATTCGAGTCGAAAAAGGTCAGCGTGTTAGTGGCTGATCCACGACACACCAAGGTGAACGTCAAAGCTGAACTGAGTAGATCCGGAAACGAGCTAGCTGGACGTTCGTCGGAATCTTCGACGCGACCAAGATTCATCGATCTTCCACCGGGTGTCTCATCATCGACAATCAATCAATTGCAGGTAACTCCTCTGTCATTAGTCTTCTTCGTTTTCCATGTAATGCCATTCGATCGACTCTTTCGTTAAGGCAACCGAAATACCTTTTCTTCGGAGAGAAAGAATAATCAGAGGAGGCAGAGATTTATCCGGCTGTCTTTCTGATAATCCGAGACAATTCATTCGTTTCGCGAACTGTTCAAGGGTGACGCTTGTTATCTTCTGAGAATATTTCTCGTTTAATCAGGCTCAGAAGAAGCTGCCAGCTGTCGAGGGCAAACACAGGTCCACGATGCACCCGTTTAAGGCGAAGCTCGCTCAAACGGAGATGATAGAAGCGAAGCAACAGCAACAAGCGACAGCGTCAACGTCTTACGAGATGCCAACGTTAGAGGAGGTGCCACTTTCAGCGTGAGTTTTGTTCATCAGTTAAGCCGTTCCTCGAGGAAAATGTAAACGGAAAGAGGGTCGACGTAATCTCGCGTGCGAGAAAGAAAAGCGACGGTGTTTCCATATTTCTTCTGTCGTAACGAAAAGCCCTGTCGTTCGACGACGGATAACGCAACGATTCCTTCGGATATTTCCCAATAACGCCTGATCACCGCGTAATTTCTTGCAGACTCGGATTTACGAGCGAACAACCGATCGATTGGGAGAACATCATTCTCCCGGAGAAAACCGACCTGTATCAGGAGTTGGCCAGGCGTATCACAAATTACAAGTAAGCTTATAGTTGTATCCGATCGGTGTAACAAAGTTAGCCGGCAAAGGCGAGGATTACGGGCTAAATTTCACGATCGATCTTTTCGAGGAACGCCGATTGTATTGTGCGAATCGATCAGGACGAGTTCCATTGTCACCTGCTAGTGCTGCAGAGCTACAGCGGCTTCTTCGACGAGAAGAATTGCAAGGAGATCGATCTAACCGGGGTAAGTTATTGCGCTTTTTGTCCGGGAAATAATGCTCCTTCCTATACGGGACAATGGGATTCGCTGGCAATATCCTATCAAACGTATGAAGACAAAATGTACCTTCCTATCCTATTCGTTTAACGAGAAAACAGCATCCTCAAAAGGAAACATACTGTAATTATTAAAAGGAATTTAACATGTTCGCTACTAGCTATTAATACTCAATTGAAAGTGGACAGAATTGAATTCTGATCTATCTGCAAATTATGCAAATTGTAGGATTTGTTTAGCGATAGTAATTTTGCAATTCTAACTCAGCATGGACACAATTTCGACGCTGATTCGTTCAGAAATCAGGTTAATACCGTGAATACGCGAGTGAATTTTCGTCATTTAACGAAGGATATTGAACGAATCCGAATACGCGTACTGACGAAGTTTCTGCGTTCGTCAATACACTTAATGCTATCGTGTCGTTCCAAGCGCGGATCCCACAGCAATTTATTTACGCGACAACACACCGGGAAACGATGCGCTCGCCCCTTCCAGTTTTCCTGTGAAAAGCGACGCAGGTATTATACCGGTGCACCGAGCAAGATGTATTACCGGCTTATCGGTATACGGAACCTGCTGCAGTCTACCGAATCCCGAATAAAGTCCCTTTGTTCACGCGATCCGATTTTCTGCCCATCGCCCTTCTTCCCATCTGTCTATCTATCCGTCGTCTCTGTTCAATGAACGGACCACCCTCCGCGTTCATCTTCCACCTGCCGATACACGTGCTTCCTTTCTCTACTCGAGACCTCATTTTCTTCTGTTTTGCATTATCTTTCCGATAGAACGACCGATCCGTACAGATTCCGCGATCTTGTGCATCGAATTTGCCTCGAGACTAAACTCGTTGATCCGTGAAGACGAACGTTGACAACGTTCGCATCGATCTTCGTGACCGTGGATACACGATAGAGAATATTTCAGGAAAAATTGGCGAAGAAAGGGGTTGTTGGTGAATTTTTGAATATTTTATCCGATGTTGAGTTGTCTTCGAATCAAGGACAATAATTCACCGACATTGACTCTGACCGACGTTGTATATTTAAGGAATTTTGTAAGGAATAAATATTTATTCGACCAGGAATAGGTAGTGGGATCTAAGTAAAGCTATTTTCCTAAATATCGACTATTGGATCGTAGGAGTTTCAACCCCCTCGAGGAAATAAATACACGGCGAACGCGAGTTAAACTTTCTGGTTCGAATAAAGAAGGAGATTCAATAAATCTTCGGTAGAGAAGCTTGAAAATCGCCAACTAGGCAACGGCAAGGGGTTGCCACCGACCCCAATCTCTTGTGTCAGCATCCCGTTCTTCTAGCCCCTCTATTTTCTGTCCTTCAACAGTGACTCGGTGGGCTCGAAGCCAACTGACCTTGAACTCCTTTCCCTGTTACCTAGCCACGGCTATATTTGACACCCTTTTCACCCGAGGGTGAATAGCGTGCCTCCAATAACCCGCCCTTTTAACAATTGCTCCAAGAAACCTTGTCATTTTTACCCTACACTCTTATTATCGCGGAGCTGGCAACATTCCGTTGCCTTTCTCGTGTCAAGGAGACCAGTAATTAAAACTGGAGAAGTGTACATACACGTCGATGCACGGTGATACATATGAGCTTTGTGTTTGATAATGATTCAAGCTTGGCTCGATCTTTTCTTTATACAAGGTTTTAATTTATAGAAGCTAGATATCCCTTGCTAGTGATAATTAATTTTGTTATTTTAAATTAGAACGAAGTATCCTCGAAGGCGTTCTCAATCATTTACGACTGGATGATCAGTTCGCAAAACGACAGCTATCGCCTTCTACAAAGGGACAATATCTTGGAGGTCTTTACAGCTGCACAGTATCTCGGAATCAAAGGTATGCTTGTAATTTGAAATGACTCGAATCGAAAGAATCATAAATCCATAGACTTCCGTAATTCCTAGTTCGTTATTTTCAACTTTCAATCCTGACGATTTCAAATACGTTTTTATGTTTCAATACGATTTACGATTATCCACTGATTTTAACATCAGTTTGAAACATTGACTTAACACCAATCGCGTCGTTTATCAGCTCTCCCATCAAAGATGGATATAACCTTCGACTACTAGCGCGTAAATCTAAATTTCCCTTCGTTTTCGTTGATGCGACGGATTTACGAGCAATGATCCCTGTTCACATCGTACCTCCATCGCGGCTCTTCCACCTTTATCGATCCATCGAAACGCGACTACGCTCTATAATATATGGCCGATGCTTTCTAACGCGCTTTAAAAGTTCCGGACCCGATGTTGGGAAAGAATGAAAAGTTTTCAAACGCGATAGGCTTCCGGGAGAACTCCCGATGCCACCGCACTTGAATACGTCACTGTCCAACTCGAAACTTCGATAAACCATACGAGATTCGTGGCAAATAGGAGATACGTCGCGTCTACGAGAACGAGAAAATGTAGGTTCCATCTTGGAAAGTTGTATCAGTGGAACTTTAGCTTCGGAAGAAGTAACCGAGTCACGGGAAACAGATACAACGATTGTTATATTTCGGTAGAATTTTGAAACTTTAATCCATCGTCATTTTATTTTTAACATTTATTAGAACTGGAAGAACAATGCTGGGCGTTTATAGACAACGACGAATTATTCACAGAAGACACCGCCTTCTTGTTATATTTAGAGGCAAGAAAAATAAAAAACAACGCAGTTATGGAGTTAATGGTACCCAGGATCATGAAGTTCTTCCTGATACTCGTCAGCACTAAAGACTTCCTAGAATTATCCGTTGATGAACTGGGTCTTTTATTAAAGTCCAATTATATTTCTGTCAATAGGTACACTTCTTACCTCCTTATCGATTGAACAATTAGGAATACGTAGTTTATTTTGAAATCTTTAATCAGTGAAATGGAAGTTCTGATGTCTGCTGTTCGATGGCTGATGCACGATTGGGAAAACAGAAAGCAATACATGTTGCAAGTGTTAAAATGCGTTAGATTCGGATTAATTGCACCGTGGCAGCTGGTAGATGTTAAAAGAAATCCAGAGAATCCTGAATTCATGGAACTCATGTCTTATCCCGAGGTGCAGAAAATGGTGGACGACGGTTTAGCGTGAGAATTGTAACAATATTTTGAATGATTTCATTAAAAAAATGAAATATTCTGCGAGATCGCAATTGTTTTCAGTTTCGTTATCATTAAATACTGGTATGGCAATCAGACTGAAGATTATTACCATTGGATCGATTTATTAGGACTGTCAGAGCCAACTAATCGAAACTGGGCCGGAGAGGACAAAGTATTTTGAATTTATCTAATTTAATTGATACTCGAACCATTGATAAATTTAATATTCTCACAAATTTTCTTTAAGAACTATGTGACGTATCGAGAATTTCTACTTTATCTCGAGGAGTACCAGAAAACCAAAATTTCAGAATTGAAAAATCGGAGGAATCGACCCAAACCCATTCCTCCCAATTCACCCCCTAACGATTACGCACTTCCACCCCCTAGAACATCAAACGATTATGCACAGAGCTCAGGTAGCTTCGGATTTCTAATCAAAACCTATTTCCTTTAAAATTAAAAGGAATTCTTAATTAAAATGAATATTTTAGGCGATACCCCGGCAATTCATAACGATACAGGAATGCATCCAAGGCATTCGAAGGTTGCCAGTGGAAACTATTTGCCGATGGAAATTCCCGAAGGTATGATGATGCCACCGAAATTTATGAACGACTACCTGAGCAGCTTGGAAAGAAGCAAAGGGGTGAGTAACCCTGGTGTGGGCACGAATAGAAGATCGACGCAGTGGCATCAAAATGGACGAATTCAGTGATCGATTCGCTGAACTATTTTTTCTTTTTTTCCTATTCCCAGCACGTGTTTCGAATGAAAACTACTATTTTTCATATCGACGAATAGTAGAATTCAGAGATTCTGTAATGAAACTTTTAGCTCGTACATATTATATACATATCGTGTATCGTATATTTATCTATTAAACATGAATTTATAAAACACGTCTACGGTATTTCGAAGCTGACGCGATCCCCTAGTGATTCAGGTGAAAATAAAACTCGATGTCGAGAGAAGGGAAATTATTACGAACGGTGAGTCGTTTTGCGATTAAATCCCGTGATGAGAAGGCTCGTCAGATTCGCCCGTTTCAAAAGTTTTCCTTCCTTTCAGGGATTATATTACGCGGTTATCGTCTGAGAAATCTCGAGGTAAGCCGCGTGCTTGTAAGTGGAAATAATGATAAATCTCGCCCAAGAAATGTCACGGAGCTGTAGTCAAAGGTCAGAGTTTATGTTGCTCGAAATCCGTGCGTTTAATGCCGAAACCCTTGAGTAATCGGGGCAAATACCATTGTGCGCCGTCGAGGCTCTCGTAGAAACTGCACTTACAGCGTATAAGCTCTTACCTTGAGATTACATCGACCCCGTAACAATTCAGTTTCCATTCATTACACAAAACAGTCGTATCTTACACGCATTTCTGATTACAATTTAAAGTGGATCGTTATACCATTATCTTCGTTCATCGACCATTTGACTTTATTGAAATTCATCGCGTAAACGCGTTAACTATTGGCGCCGAATTTAATTAAAAAATTATTAATAAACACAGAACGAACAGAGGAACGTTGCCTTCGTCAGTAGATTCACCGGAGGCGGAGAATCGCCGAAACTCGCCTACAGATCATCGACCACGGAGAAACGTGTACAAGAACAATGTAAACGTGGCGTGAACTTACCGGTAACTCGAATGCTACTCGTAGAAAGATTCCCAGAAGGAACTTGAAACGTTCCTAGTTCGACAGGGTGTTCTCTTTTCCCCCAGGATACCGCTAAATTCGATTACGAGAACCGACAGGAGAAGAAGGCGACGGATGTTTGTCGATGCCAGCAGCGCGAGTCGAATTTGATATTTTCCACGAGGAAGCAGCAGCAGCAACAACACCAGGGAAGGTGTAAGAGGGAACCGGAAAAACGAACGGCCTCCGTTAAATCGGAAGAGGAAGCAGCCACCACGATACAGGCTGTGTACAGAGGATTCAAGGCTCGAAGAAAATTCGACGAAGTTAGTTGGACTTTTCACGCGTTGCTTTGCTCGTTTCCAATGAATTCGTTTGATCTTTAATGTTAATGCGTTGTTTTAAACGACAGATAAGGAAATCAACATCGGAGGAGAAGCGGAATATCAAGAAGGTAGCGGAACTTTTAGCCATTCCGATGGACGAAGCACCGCGCAATCCCTCGAAGGATACCATCAGAATTTCAAGCAGCTCAGCGAATCAAATGAGAAACGAGGAAGACGTTACACCAGGATCGTTAAGTCCCAGGAAAAATTCGAAGGAACAATCGATCCTCCGGAACAAAAGTCAACGTATCGTTGGAGATCAATTGGATCATGTAAAATCAAAATTTCCCTAATACCATTAGTTCAGTGAAACGTGGATCCTAACCGTTCCTCGTTCGGATGAATCATTTGGTATATCAGGAAATTGTGTCCTATTCGGATTAGGATTACAATCCCTGCCATAATAATTCTGTTCATGAGAAGATTTTGGAATCCGATGTTCTCAGATGGACGCGTCTCTACCCACTTACGAAAAAGAAAGGAACAAGCGAATTCTGCAGAACGCGGTGAACCAACGGGACGTACCAAAAGCTATCACGACTATAAAATCACCGATGTCTTTTTCAAATTACGACGAAAAAACCAGTTCCCCTTCGGATAACACGGACACGGATGATCCTTTCTCTCCGCGAACAGACGCGAAATCAACGCTCACGGATTTCAACGAACGCGTCGTAATCGATGAAAACGCAACGAGAAACGATGAAACGAATTATCAAGACGGTGACAATCCGCGGCGAGTGAAACCGGGTGTAAAGAACGTTCCGATTAGATCCGTCAACTACAAACGACCGCTGTGAGTATCGTCGTTGTTAATTGTTCTTAACAACTGAGGCAATGAATGAGTTATCTTAATAGAACCTTTGAATTGCATCGGAATTACTTTCAAATTCATAAACGAAACCGTATCAAGGTGGACAAGTCGATCGATACCTTCCTTTTAACCTTTCGCGGTCTATGAATCCTACGCAACGAACTACTAGCAGCTCTGAATTATTTAGGAGCAGTAATACACGCGGTTGGAGTAAAGTTGTTTAAGAAGGAAAACGGAATCTTTCATTCTTAAAGAATTTCATTTCACCTTCATTCTGTAACATTTAATTTGTTAAACAACAGGAAAGATTTAGATTTGGCTAGTTTGAATCATCAGTATTCCCGAGAAAATGAGTCACATGTTTGCAGACCGCAGAGGATTAGCAGCAGCATGTTGAGTTCGAATCCGGACGGCTATTATTTCGACAACTCTCTCTTTTTCCCTGATCGAGAATCGATCCTGGTGTTCGGTGGAGTCGATCCCCACGAGGAGTACGGTCGTCACGGGAACACGGGCAAGGACATATACAGATTTAAACCTGACGAGAACACTTGGGAATTCGTGGGTGTGATACCGCAAGCGCGACACCATCACTCGGCCGCCTATCTAAGAGGTCGTATTTACTTAGTAGGTGAGTCAAAAGATGACTAAAACAACCGTGCAACAAGAGACAGGATTTATTTTATTCCTCTCTTTTTTACGACGAATAAACTAGAGTTGAAAAATATTCTCATTCCATTTACGTGGCGCATAACGGCAGACTCTCACGGGTACATAATCTTCTTTACGACTTTGTTTTTTTCGTAAGAAGATTCATTGCACAATAGGAGGCTGTTTTTTTTCACGGCGAATTAAAAGTATAGAGAGAGGAGAGAAAAAGACTGAAAAAATATTGTCAGGAGGAGCGGATCCGCTGGAAGACAAACTGCACAGGAAGAGCACCGCGGTTGGAAGCATGTGGAGTTACGACCCGACAACCAGGACTTGGTTCAATGAACCCGGCATGCTGACAGCCAGAAAAGACTTCGGACTGGTGGTCAGCCATGGGAAAATGTACGCCATAGGAGGGCAAGGCAGCAACGGGATGTGAGTCGTTACACAGAATAATTATCTAGCTCCTGAGTTTTCTTTCAATTTTCCTCGCTATTTATTTCTAGCACTGTGCTACGCTAATTGCCATCCAATTTAAGTCTAATCTTACACGCAAACGATAAATGCTGATTTTTATGCCTTTACAGTATGATCGACGAGTCAAAATATTTTATACATAATTATTGATTAATTGATTACTAATCGTCATTGATCTGCGAGTAAAACAATTCGGTTTCGTAACGCGGCAAGAAGCAAAGGGGTCTGATAACGATTCTAATGGATAAACTTGTTTTCAGAGCTTTGAAAACAGTGGAGACTTTCGATCCGTCGAATTCTACTTGGAAGGAGATGCAACCGATGCAGACAGCCAGGGTGGGACCAGCCAGCGTGAAATATAGAGACCTAATCTGGGTCGCTGGCGGCATGACAAAATCGAAAAAAGAGCTGTTCTCGAAAGACGTGGAATGTTACGACCCGATGAAAAATTTGTTAGTCGTTTTCGTGACTCTATACCCCCGTTTGATCCGAAACGAAACGCGTTAATTAATGATTAGATTGATTGATCCCTTTCACGAGGTAAATACAGAAATGATTATTTAATGCGCCTGCCTAGATGGTTAAAAACGGTTCCTTTGAGGACACCTAGATGTTTTGCTTCCTTTTACGTTGTGTCGGATTGCCTTTACGTGATCGGTGGAGCATCGACCACCGAAAACGGAACCCAGAGCATCAACACCATCGACGTGTGGAACGGAAACGATTGCGTTTGGAGAGAACACGCAAACATGTCGATCGCGAGACACGGACATACCATCGGGTCGATAGGTTAGTTTTAACGATATCGAAATACCTTACTAAACTATTGAAACGTTTTATTGACTCATCGATTAAGGTTTGAACGCTTCAAAAATTGCTGACCATTTTAATATGATACTGTTTTTAGTTAGAACTGTATTTAACCCCATCACGCATAGTATATATGATAATAATAGTATATATGTAATAATTCTGCTTGTTATAAATACTCATCTTATCTTCTTTTATGAAAAGTTATATAGAAATACACAATTATTATTTGAAATGTATAAAATTAAGAACAGTACATCTATAATTCCCATTTGCGTAAGAGGGTTAAATAATAGAAGCTTGAAATATTATTTCTCTGAATATTTGTAACTCACCGATACGATGCTCGTCTTTGTTTCGCCAGGAGACCAGTTGTTGATCATAGGAGGTGTGACCACAGTGTTTATGAAAACCTTGAGCAGCGTCGAATGTTATTGTTGTGATATAGAGAAGTGGATGAAAGGTGTTTCTGGGCTGCCACATGCTGTTTCTGGTCACGGAACCGTGTCCTTACCGCCAGCAAATCTTCTGATTGATCACTGAGTAACTGAAATTAAAAGATCATGTTTCTCTATGTTATGCGTTTAATGGTCGACACATTAAACAATTATCGCTGCCATTTATATTTTATAAGTTTTCTTTATTCATTATAGATTTTAATTTTTACACTCGTTTGGTTATACATTATAGAAGTTTATATGATTTTATTTAAACAATGCTTAATAACGAATAAAATAACATGAGAAAAGTTACCTTTCATGTTCATTCGACACGTGAATCGTCCACGACAAGATCACAACACAACAATAGTGCCAGCGCTATCTGATGGTGGCTGAAGAAACTAGAAAAACAGAAAATGGCATCTTCGAAAAAAAAAGCAATTTCTGTGTATTAATAACAAGTCTAGAGCATTCTACGCTTTAAAAGCAGCACAATGAGCCCTATCATAGTTTATTAAAAATATTAAAATAACAAATAAAAGTATTTCATTCAGTGGGCACTGATCTGCAGCATTAATGGAATTGTACTGATTATACGCTTTTAAAATATTTAATATTTACTGATTTCGTATTTGGTATTATATTGCTAGTATAATATGTACAACATATTAGACTTATTCTTACTCAGAGAAATAATATCGCTTTAAAAGTTGAGAAATTCTCAAGTGCATACCATGTCACCTTATGTCGATACCATTGCAAAGCCAAGGTTTTGATTATTCGTACTTCTTTCCGTCTTCACTGAATTCAATAGAATAAAGATACTTGAATGTTGATATTTGATGGACTTAATTAATGAAAAACCGTCTTACAAACAGTAAAAAGTTGAAAAAATCAAGCACAATCGGAACCGCGTGCACTTTAGATTTAGTTTAATTAGTACTAAACGTCTCCGCTAGGGAACGAGAGCAATTCTGTTTTAACGGAACCACTTTAAAATAGTAAAATATTGCCTGCACTACTAGATACGTTTTCTAAAATATTTAATACTATCTGCCTTGGTATTTGGTATTATAATGCAAGTATAATATGTGCAACATATTAGACTTATTCTTATTCTACGCAATAATATCGCTTTAAAAGTCGAGAAATTCTCAAGTACATACCGTGCCACCGTAGGTCGATAGCGTCACAAAGCCAATGTGTTGATTATTCGTACTTCTTTCCATCTTCATTGATGTCAATAGGTTAAAGATACTTCGACGTTGATATTTGATGGACTTAATTAATGAAAAACCGTCTCACAAACAGTATAAATTTAGAAAAATTAAGCTCAAGCCGGGACGCGTGCACTTTCGATTCAGTTCCATTAGTACTAGGCGTCTCCGCTAGGTAGCGAGAACAATTCTATCTCAAGGCGGTAATTTTTAAATAGTACAAAATCACTCACGTATCGAAAGAAAAAATTTGATTTTCATGGTGAAAACTGTAAAAAACCCATGAAATATGTATATAATATTTTTCGTAGAACTTTTTAGGAGCTTTATTTTTTGATTGAAACTTTTTTCTGTAAAATCAATATTTTTGGGGATATACAATAAAAACGTTTCAAATTTTGAAGTCATATGTATACGACTTCTGTTCGGTATACATGAATTGTTTGTATGAATTTTGCGTCATTTTTAAATAATTATCTCAGACGAATTTTTTTTCTTTTTTTCTTTATTGTATTAATTTAGGCTGGACTTTCGGAAAAGGGTTACCACTGATTTTCTTGGAACTGCGTATGTTTACGTATTTCGATGCGCTGATTACAACAATGATAGTCAAAATTGGCACAAATTTGATTTTCACGGTGAAAACTGTAAAAAACCCATGAAAATTTTAATTTTTTGTTTATCTTGAGAAATGCTAAGAATTTTAAAAAACATTTTAAGTAAAAGTTGTAGATCTCATCGAAATACATTTTTTTTGTTCTATATATTTTTCTTCTACGACTGATAGTTTTTGAGAAAATCATTGATGTAGTATGTTTCGCTGCTTTACCGTCTCACTTGTTTTCTGTTCCACTACGTCGCTTTCTAGGCGATTAAGTGGATAGGTTAGGTTAGGGGCAAACGAGGCTTTATCGCCAAAAAATTTTAATCAAAGCTTATACCTGATTAGAGAATAAAATCCCTAAGACGATTTTTGGCGATAAAGCCTCGTTTGTATACATATGACTTCAAAATTTGAAATGTTTTTATTGTATATCTCCAAAAATATTGATTTTACAGAAAAAAGTTTCAAACAAAAAGTAAAGCTCCTAAAAAGCTCCACGATAAATATTATATACATATTTCGTGGGTTTCTTACAGTTTTCACCATGAAAATCAAATTTCTTCTTTCGATACGTCAGCGACTTTGTACTATTTAAAAATTACCGCCTTGAGATAGAATTGTTCTCGCTACCTAGCGGAGACGCCTAGTACTAATGGAACTGAATCGAAAGTGCACGCGTCCCGGCTTGAGCTTAATTTTTCTAAATTTATACTGTTTGTGAGACGGTTTTTCATTAATTAAGTCCATCAAATATCAACGTCGAAGTATCTTTATCCTATTGACATCAATGAAGATGGAAAGAAGTACGAATAATCAACACATTGGCTTTGTGACGCTATCGACCTACGGTGGCACGGTATGTACTTGAGAATTTCTCGACTTTTAAAGCGATATTATTGCGTAGAATAAGAATAAGTCTAATATGTTGCACATATTATACTTGCATTATAATACCAAATACCAAGGCAGATAGTATTAAATATTTTAGAAAACGTATCAAGTCTCGTTCCCTAATTAAACTGAATCTAAAGTGCACGCGTTTCCGATTGTGCTCGTCTTTTTCAACTTTTTACTGTTTGTAAGTCGGTTTTTCATTAATTAAGTCCATCAAATGTCAACATTCAAGAATCTTTATTCTATTGAAATCAATGAAGATGAAAAGAAATAGGAATAATCGAAACATTGGCTTTTCAACGCTATCGACATAAGGTGGCACGGTATGTACTTGAGAATTTCTCAACTTTTAAAGCGATATTATTGCGCAGAATAAGAATAAGTCTAATATGTTGCACATATTATACTAGCATTATAATACCAAATACCAAGGCAGATAGTATAAATATTTTAAAAAGCGTATCGAGTAGAGTAAATAAATAAATAAATTCGAATAAATCGAATAAATAAATTTGTGAAATTTTTTACAATATCATGTGAGTACTTCCCTAGTACTTATTCTTACATACAAAAGGGGTGCTCTTGAATAAAAGAGGAAAAATTAATGTAGGTATGATATCAGTAGGAGTTTTTTTTTACATGAAAACGTATTAATTATTTTTACAGTACTTCTTATGGGAAAGGTTGGTTACCGAGGTACCACTGTAGTTCCAAACTGGTCGCCAGGTGGCAGTAGTTCTCCCTCAGCAGGGAGCCGCCATCTGTCATGGCAGTCGTGCGTTATGAACCGCGAAGCGTGCGTGGAAGTTTCGAAAAAGGATTCGGATTCGAATGCGGCAAGGTAGCTAGCCGCCTTGGAGATAAACGCGAGTTAACCTGAAAATGGCCGATTCGTGCGAGACGGTGGTGTCAACTGCAGTGACCAGTGTTCTTCCCCATGGACCAACTAAACTGTCTGAAACGCCGTGCCAGGAGGACGCGGAGACATCCGGCTCCACCGGTACGTAAGCCTAGCTAGAATATCTCGTATAAGTTTGAAAGCAGTTTATTCAAACGCAACTGTCGAGCGCGGCCATGCAACAAGTGGCACAGAGCGCTCTTGCATGCCGAACAGGAGCGTATAGAGGGATTTATAAACCCGTTGGGATTCACTTTGCCCTCCCGGTATTTCCTACCTAATATGTCGTCCTCGATCACGTGACTCATCATTGACCTATGCCACTTAATTTCCGCGCGTACGAAATGTCAGAAATACCGATGTACTGTGACTCACTTTTATTATGAACTTGAATTTCAGGGAATTTTACTCGATAACTTAGTAGGGGATTGTCAAATAGTTCTTTCATAGTACTACTAATGTTTTGGAGTTGTCTGCTGTTAATTTTACGATTACACGTTTCTCATATAATAGAATTTGTCTAAAATTTTCTTCTCGACTCGTACCATTTGATTTATCAAATCATTTAGATGTGTACTTTATGAAAATTGTTACGGTTGACGTATCGAACATTACGTTACTGGTAGGAGGATTATTATTAGACAGGTGGGTGAGGGATCGAGAAACAACTTTCTGAATCAGAGTAATTGCACGTACGTTGAATCTGATCGTAAATATATAACTATGGCTCCCCTCGAGCAAATCGCAATTACAACTTCAATGCATTTACACGTAAACGTGACGGTATATAAAATTAATTTTGTTCACAATTACCGACTAACTTGTTGGCACGTTCCTTATGGAAGAAACATAACAAGTTTCTATACCGGTTTTATTTTATTTATTTTATCTTCGTTTGACTGGCCTCTGATTTTTAATTTTGTTGGTGGCGCTGTTAAACAAGAAAGCAGTTAAGCGCCGTTCGCTAAAGATACAAGATTTTTTATTCTAATCATTCTTTTTATAATAACTAGTTTTGTCGGTTTTCACCTGAATATTATATAGTCGGTTTTAGAAAATATAGTCTCAGGTAGATGCATTATCATTAAATCAATGAACGCGGATGTTTAACCGTGTTCGGTTTAGTTACCAACAAAAAAATGACACACCGATAAGTAATCCGCGATAAGCTTTAATCCATACGTTCGATAAAAAAGATTTCACGGGATTATCTTTTTATACAATCAAACAAGCTTCGTTTCTTTCATTTCTTTAGAGGAAAGATTAATCATAGTTGGTTGCGATCCATCTTACCATGCATTGGTATATGGTGGCAACTAAATTTGTTTCAAAATTTGTTTCATACAAAATACATGTAGGAACTCTAATTTTTCCTTGCTCTTCCTTTAAATAATCGTATCTTAAACAATAATGAATAAAATTCTTAAAAATAGAGAGATCTTTATCTCGCAAATAATAAACAGATGGCACAACGATATCTAGTAGGAAATATTCGAAACAGGTGTAATGATGGCATGACTGCAAAAGTAACTAGAATTCCCATTCATTCAATGCACTTCCATTGACAAACACTATGTTTTGATACTTCATACGTTTTAAAGTTTGGAATTGTTGTTTACACAATAGTAAAAATGTTAGAGCCAATTTTGGCGGAAGACAGCACATATACGAAACTAGTGCCTTCATTGGAAGGAATATTAAACGATTTAAACGAAGATGCCACACCTCATGATTATCTTGTTGCTTTAATAATAGTGTTATTGGCAGAGTCTGGTTTTTATTTGTCACCGACAAATAATGATCGTTCGCAATGGTAGGCAATAGCAGTTGATAACATTCCTAATTTTATTATTTGTTTGTAATGCCATCTGTTACAAAAATGTTTGTCACAGTTCAAAACTGAGGTCTCTTCGAATACCAAAAAATTGGAAAAAGGAAGGGACAGAATCTTATGAAATGAACTTTCAGCTGGAAACTCCTGCTAATGTGGAATGCAAACTGCTTGCAGTTCCATTGGGGGACACATTGATTCTAAATTTCTTTCCTTTCATAAAGTATAAGAAAATTTATACTATATCCGTTCAGACTTTGAAGTATGTTAATCCTTACTCCAGTGATCTTCCTGGACGGTACATGAACTTAAAAACATTCTCTCACAGGTATCGCAAGCTTATCATAATATTATGAAGAATTGTTCTTTTCTCATGATATTATTTATTAGGTTCAAGGACTCACTGTCCACTCCGGTGCGGTCAGATATATTAAACACAATGGGATTAATGGGCCCTAGCCTACAATCTATTCCAACTGAAGTAAAACTCAGAATTCTTGGAATGCTGGATGTTCATAGTTTAACTAAAATGACACAATGTTGTGCAGAATTTCGTGATCTCTGTGCAGAACCACAGTTATGGAAGGACCTATTGTATAGGGACTTTCAAGGATGTTCAAGTCCAGTAATAGCAAATAGCAAAGCATATTACAGAAAACAGTATATAGAGAGAAAAATACGTCCTTTCGGATCACGCCGTTTCTTAAGACATGCCGGTCGTAGTCTTATATAATATATTTTCTATAAAAATCTCGGTATTTTAAGAAGGGAGCTAAATAAATTGTTAAATTTTTACAAATTTAATTTGTTATACATTACTATGTAACATAAGTATATTTGTATAGATTGTATAAGTAATATAATTAACGATCATTTTGTAGCTAATGAATAAAATTTAATGTAACAATGTTGAAACACCTTTATTATCACTGTTATCTTGCTATACTTTGTCGCAAATGGTTCCTCACAGTGATATCAATTATCTATAGACATACTTTCCTATCAGTTTATAAAAGAAAGCATTAATGTTCATGGACATTTATTGTAAATTTTTTAAAACTGATGAATTATTTCAGATACACATTTCGCAATTAATTGATCAAAGAAATTATTTTTATAATCAGTTGTCATATTCTCTGTCGAATACGCGATATCGCGTGCTCGATAGTCAATGCTAAGTGCTTTACCACGCGATATCGCGTGTTGGATTGTCAGCGCTCTTTAATATTCGTGAATCTTTGATTTCAGCTGACGAAGCCACGAAATCGGTAGTGGATAGCGAAAATCCGGTGACCGAGGAAAGCACGACGCAGAGCAACGGTGATACCGGTGAGTGATAATAACCCTTTGATTCTTGCTTTCTCGCCTTTCGCTTCTGATATACTCGTTAGATGGAGGCACACCTGGCTGTCCTATCGATCAGGTGTGCACCAAATACAAAATCTGTACTGTACGAATACACGTGGCTATTTCGATATATTCAAATACAATCGTCTCAAATCAAGATTAAAATTTAATCGAATACAAGTTTCTATATACTATTATCTTTCTTCAGATGATTACCTTAATTCGCAGATTTTACATACTTTACAGATTTTGAATAATTTATTTTGTTTTCATATATCTGCCATGCATGAAGTTTCACAATGTAGTTATTACATATTAAATATCGCGTTAAATAGATGACAATTAATAATTATTATATTCTCGATACGATGTCGAATTGCGGTTGGAAAATGATTGAAACCTTTCCGCAAATTGGATTTGTTCCGTGTGACTTGTAATAAATGCGTCTCCTCGTTTCACTAATCGGTTTTCATAAAATCGAAGCGAGATTACATTGGGATTGAACGAGAAAGTAGACAATTTATTTAGCTTCAAGATTGATTCATTTATTACTCGGCGTTTTAGCGAGGCGATTATTGTTTGAATATTTTCAGTTACAAATAAATAATGTATGTTTCGCGTTTCGGTCTATTTAGCTTTCAGCACGAAGTCGTTTACCTCGATGTGAATAGTTTAACTCTTGGTAATCGCCTCGAGTTCGTATACACCGATTTTATAAATTCTTTAATTATAACTCTTATATGAGGGGTATGCGAAAATTTCCTATAGTTCATTTCGAACCATTCATCTTTATCCTCTAAGATTTTCTCTAATCAGAATTAGAAAAGAGATAGGACTCCGTTATTCATTACGATATCCACTCGTGTGTCCTCTGGAAATTCTTTTCTTCAATTAAAAACAGGAAAATAACAGGAGACGAGATCGTTGTTTCAACATTTGTGCAATTCCGTTGTCCCGTCGCGTACCGACGATTTATCGTTATCGTTTTTCTTCGGCTTGTTTTTTAACACGAAGTAAGTTTTTCCGCATAGATCCGAAGTGTGTGACTTGTAATATTCTTGCCGAGTTCTCGCTACGGCTTAACGAACTGCGAAGTTTTGGCACGAAAGCGTGGAATAAAGTCGAGCAAAGCGTAATCAGCAGCGACACCGCGTTCCTGTTTCGCGACACTTTCCATCCCCAATAGTTCCTTCACTGTTTTCCTTTCTTCGGATAAAGAAAAAATATACCATCAATTTATTCGTCGCGTTTTCCGTCGAAAACCATTCGAACGGTGTCGACGATGAATGATAAAACAACAATCGATTAATTATTCTCGAGGTACGAAACGGTGGAACTTGATGGCTTTGGAAATTTCGATTACGCATTAAATAAACGATAACGGTGCAAATTATAAACGACCCAGCTATTGATACGCTTCGATTAAACAGGTTTCCTTTGATTACTATGCTTACTAAACTCGAAGCGTGTTCTAAACGTCTATTCGACGGAACGTTTCTTCAATTAAAGGCACCGTATGCGATAATAATTAATATAACGTCGAGGTGGAGTTGTTAACGCGTGAATTTAGGGCAAAGCTAGCTGTAAGGTCGGTCGTCTAGAGAAGTAGGTCATAGCAGGTGGTGACTCGCGTAGAACGAGGAAGAGGAAGAGGCGGAGAGGGTGGAAGAGTGCACTTTTCAAAATCGACCGCTAAACGCTCGTTCCGTGAGAGATGCACCCTTCCTGGTATCCTCGGATCCACCCTAACATCCATTTGTTCTTTGCACTTCATAGTTTCACACGCATTCCACCGTGTTCCTCCTCTTTGTCTCTTCTTCATCAACGATTTTACCGTCTCTGTCCCCGTTCCATTCAGCAACTTTTCGATGGAACGTCTGAACACGGAATAATGGTGTTTCCAAAACAAAGTGGGCTAAAGTTGTGTCTCTGGAGTATTAAAATCCCATAATTAGGACTTGTTTATAGTTGGCTAGTTGTTGCGCTAGTACTAGTCTTGCGCTGCTCTTTTCACTCTATAATTAATCGTAAATTTTACATTCGTCCTTAACCCTCGGACGGCGGACCATGGAGGGAGCCCAGATTTTAATTTAATTTTCTATTTCACATTACTTTCTAATCCTTCGATATTTCGAAACTGGCGTTATAATATAGAATAATTGAATTGAAAAAGAAAAAGATACATGTACCTTGAAGAACGTCTTGCGATGGCAGGAACTTTTCGAATGACCTAATATGTCGTATGCGTATTTCGAAGCCCGGTAGCGGGCTTAAGCTTGCGCCGTTTGGCTTTCTCTCTTTCTCTCTTTCTCTGCCCGTCGCACCGTCCCTTTATCTCTGTTGCTCCACTTTCCAGTCTTTCTCTGTTCCTCGAACACGGCGGCGACGTTCACCGTTCTCCGGGTTGCTCCCTGGCTCTCTCTCATCCCCAGTGCGCGCATCGAACCCGTCCTGGACGAAAGTCCTTCCCGCTCCGTCGCGCGTTCCACGCACGTTTCGCCACGATCGAAACCTCCTCGGGCTACTTTGTGATCCTCGTGACACGGGATACGCGTGTATACATACGTTTCCTCCGTTCCCGTGACGAGAACTCGTGGACCGCGTGGCAGATCGTTGAACGCGCGTGGATCTCGAGAGCGAATCGTGTGTGGCTGTTCGTCTCGTGATCGACAGGCTTGATCGAACCGGACGATCGAGGCGGAAGCGATGAGAGTTTCATCCTACTTCATGGATAGTCTCGAGGGGATGAAGAAGTGCATGGGTATAGACTACGGAGTGGTTGGAAATCTGGATTTCTACCAGCTGAGACATCGATGTTGTCGAAGCTTCAGGGCGACGGCTGAGTTTCTACTTTTTCAGGGTTTTTTGCTCGGATTCATTTTCACCGTACCACAAGGGTCTGCTATGATTAATGGTTCACGTGGCGTTAGGGTTTTTAGGTTTTTAGGTCATTCGAAGGAATTGAAAAGATACCGTGTTAAATATGCCTAATCAGGATTTTCCTCTTCAAGTACCGAATTCTCGAATTCCTTTGTGCAAACTGTTTCGTGGTTGGTCAAAGCTGGAATAATTGAAGTGGCACTCGGTGTAAAATGTAATTTCCCCCTTCGAAATGTTCAAGCAACTTCTCCGTATTCTATTCATCGTTTTTGTTCGTGAAAATAATATAGAGTTTTCTATGATGAAATTACCAAAATAAAAAGAAAAGGAAGAAGGAAGAAAAAAAATCTGGCACGTTTATTAACGAATGGAAACTTTTTAACGAGCACGAAATTAACACGCTCGGGCGTCAAAGTTCTGCTTGCAAAACGCGAGGGCAAAGACGAGAAGCTAATAAGAGAATCTCGGGTCGTTAAGCATGATCCTTTGTTCTGCTGCAAGACGAGGCCTTTAAATCCCTTGCATCGTTAGAACCTTCGAATCGCTCGTTTTACTCGAGCAAATTTCATTTTCCGGCCTATATTTACACGCCTGCCGCGCGATTTCGAGGATCATTATGTCACGAACAAGCGACACGAAATTTACGAAACAAACTCAGTTTTATTCCGGAATTTACGCTCGGCGTTTTATTTTTTATTTGAACAAAGCAAATAATGTTTAGCAACGCGTCTGGGGAACAATTTGTGTCTTAAGCATCGCCCGACTATTTCACTGTTCAACGAATAAACGATGCATACCGTCGCGTTCTCGATCGTCGAACAACCTATGCAACTTATTCCGGCTATTTTTCTTTACAATCATTTATATTATCCGCTCGAATACGAAGCGTTAGCGGAATGCTCGCGTTCAGACGTAGAAACTTATCGTTTATGTCGTTTGCACGTGTTGGACAGTTATGTATTTTTGTAATATTTTCACACCCACTTTATGCAGATTTTCATCGTATAGCATTGCCACATGACACCTGTTACAAGCTTGAAACATACGGCCTAACTTTGTAACTGATACTAGTCGACTCTCTTTTTATCGCCGCGTACGTAGGAGTGGAGTTGATAGAAATGGCAATATAGGAAGGGTCAAAGTTAATTCTCGATGGTGTATTAAGCTAATGGTATTAAGCCAAGAGTAGATCCCTGGCCATACCCTATCACCCTTGTCATAGTGTCCGGCAGTATAACACGAGTCCGCTGTGTTATGACAAAAATCACGTCACCAGGGGTCCGTATATTCAATCATAATTTATGGAATTATCCGGAAATTCGGACAAAGCCTTTCGGCTAACTTTTTGATAAAAACACTCCCCCGTGCATCGATCACTTATTTCAAATGTTTGGTCACGTATTTCGCAGCCGCTCCGTATGAATTCGAACGGGGTTGCAAAAGTCCTGACGATTTATCGCCGTGGGCGAAACGCGGCCGTGTCAATTTCAATTTCTCGCGGATGCGCAACGATAACACGGACAGATTTCAATCGGGAGGACCGATCGGAAAAATAAATCCCGCTAACGAATGCTTCCGCCAGCCAGACGGAAAAAGGGGTGGAATCTCGCGGATCGAAACGAGATTGGAGCTTGTGCGTAGTATCTCGGGGTCGGGAAAAGGATCG